TCTAAGCTAATAACGATTATTAAGTACGTATTTTAGCTACGCCGCTTATACTCTAAGTCTTCTCCTTAGTATAATAGTTAAGGAAAGTTCTTATAGAATTATAAGAGTATAAGTAACTTAACGAAAATACTAAGATAATTAATTAATTACTATATAGTCCTTTAAATATCGACTATAAGAACTTAAGGAGTCTAAACACCTCGTATACGATCCGTATAGCCCCTAAGGTCTTATATACTATACCCCTTAGTATCTTAGTACTAGCCTTAGCATTGGATAGGTACTTCTAGGGTCTACCGTAGTCCTGTCCCGTAATAGAAATAATGACTATCGTAATATTAAAGGACTCTAGGGGCTATAGGTTTAGTAATTAGAGTAAGTCAACCTTCTTCACGTCCTATAGAACGACAGCGACCAAAATCTACGTTGAGAGTATATACTTAAGCTTAGAAAAGACCTACGTAAAGGTAAGGTTAATATAGCATGCGCTTAGATTATGGAAAAGTATATAACCTAAGTAGCAATTTGTGCTGGAAGACATCTCGTCGACCGTATTTCCATCCTTTGAATGCTGACCGCCCATTGGGTGATAGCCGGAATAGCGTCTAATGCCAAGAATGGGGTGTCGATCCCAAGATTTCCCAAGCATGCACTTAGGAAATCCCCTATGCGTACGCACAGCATTGCTGGGGCCCGACCACATTCTAACGGATCTCCTTCCCGCGACCCTTGTTTTGATCTACTCACACTACCCTTTGTCTGTGATGGAGGGCATAATCTATTTAGTTCCTTAGTTCTATGAAAGCGGGCTCGTCCTCCACGTTATTGCCAATCGGTATGGCGGCTGGTGTTGCAAAGCGAGACGTCGCCAGAGCGCTAAGATGAAGTTACCGATACGGAGCGAATGATAATCCGTTCCGCATCTCTGAGCAGTCGAGTGCAGGGTTCATTAATTGAACCGTAGCCAACCATCCATACAGGAAACATATCATGCGAGGCTACATAAGTCGAGCTGGAGATAGGCAGTTGACAGGTCCTCTTGTTGGCTTGCTCGATAAACTGTGGATTATGCCAGCAGTTTGATTTGACGAAAGACCTACCTGTAGCGCCCATAGCGGCAAACTAGATACTGTGTGATTAAGGTCCTCAAGGATCTTTTCGATGTAGCCACCGCCATGGCCAGTTAGAGAATCAAGCATATCCATTTCCACCTTTGTTTGAATGCCTTGTTTTGCAGTCCTAGCATCATTGATATTCCCCGCATCCGGATAATTTCCCTAGGCAGCCATCTCTTGGCGTCGGTAGCAAGCGGATTTGGTTTGAAAGCATTGTCGCCATCAAAGACCTCATGCCGATGCCATATGTAAACACTTGGACCGTACCTGGCCCGTAGTCTCTTACTACCGGCCAGTGGATGTCCTTCAGGGTCGGTTGAAAAGTCCGTCCCTGGGCCGGGCCAACCAGGACATGATGCACATAATACCCCTTGAAAGAAGTCTCATGCCATGCGAGAACCTCTCCTTAAGCCACCAGGCTAGAGAGAACAGCGGGTGGTCCGGTATATGGCCATGGAATATTTGGACGTCCACCTTGATTGGCATTGGCCAAAACTGCCACACATCGCACGAGCTCGACCACGACCACGGTATCGTCCAACAGAACGCCCTTCCATATTCTGGAGTTGTGGACACGGAAGTCATCCCTGTGCAAATGACGGCCAATGAAACCTATCAGCAGGGCCTCAATCTGGAACCGCAATGGCCGGTGATGGGAGATTTAACCTAAGGCTGGCTTGGCAGAGACGCGAAGGCCAGGGTCTGCTCGGCCGGGTATTTCTTTCCGAAACTTCGGATAAGTTTATCATGCCCAAGCCCTGCAGCTAAGCTTTGAGGAACGCACCGTGGTTGACACCGACGCTTTCGGGACCCACTGGCATTCAACTCCGCAGAAGCTCAAGTTTAAGCTCATTTGGCGGCGGTTAGCTAAAGCGATGCTAAATCTTGATCCGTTCCTCGGCCCCGGAGTGGCCTGAAAATACAAAATGAGAACCAACAGCCTTACCCTAAGCTGACTAGGGCGTAGGGGAATGCGCAATGAACCCTCAGGGCCTCTGCTCAACGCCTCATGAGTAAGGTTGAGTCTATTATTAAGGATATCGTACAGGATGAGGCGAGTTCTACCGCTAGTTATTCTCGCCTTGCGCAAGTAGATGCCTTCCGAGATATCCGCATGAAAGTATCAAAACACGCAATTTTATACCTGGAAAGAGAGTTGGCGGCACTTACAGAGGGATTAAAGAGAGACTCGAGCCTATAAATACCTCCTGAGGGCTGTAATGTAAGACCCTCCTGCGGTTTGGTATAACCTGTCAACACTCTCTACAAAGGGCATTTCACGAGGATTTAAAGATACTAAAGACTCTAGTACACCCTCGCTGGTGGCTAAATGGGCCAGATATTTATAATACTAACTGGACGCCGCATTACCCACCTCCTGGGGCGATCCCTGCGCCTCTAGGAGCGGAAATTGAGCCCTCATTAATCACTCAATTAGCTGCGTTAAGGGGTCTACTTACCCCAGAAGAAAGGCACAGGTTTGACGTGGAATCCGCTCGCATAGAGCGCGCGCATAGAGCGCCAAATAGTTAATTATCAAGAGACAGCGATGACGAGTCTCCTGCGGAGTACAGAAAGGGTATATCAACTACAACAAATGCCTCATGACCAGCCAGATGCTCGCCGTGACGCCCACGGGCGCGCCAACCAGCGAGCAATGATTTCTAGTGAGCTAGCAGAGCGCCGGGAGCGTAATGAGCACCTACAACAGCTGCAATTAGCGCGGCAACAGGAGACGCAATGGCGAGAGCAGTTAATGGACGCCGCATTGGACCTTTCCGCGAATGAGCAATTACCATTTTATGAGGGGGAAGATACTATAGAATTTACTAGGTGGAGGACCCTTGACAACATCCCTGGGAGCTCTACGAGGCCTGTCAGTATCGACAGTCCTCCTAGGGCGCAGGCGACGATAATATTACCTGTCCGCACGCCAGAGAGACCTCGACTGCGGCGTGAGCCATACTCACCGGAGGCTTCTCCCACTATAATTAGGTGGGAGGAGCCTCCTCCGTCGACTGCGCCAGCAGCATTTATTAGGGGTAAGCGACGGAGGAATCATACAGCTAAATTCAATGAAGGTCGCCAGCAGGGATTCATTGCGGAGTCACAGGAGCGCCAGTGAGGTCAGGAATGGAAAAACGATAATCTACGGTGACGGCGAGGTCTGCAGTCAACACCAAGGATGACGCCGACGAGGCTTTACCAAAGTTTAGCCTCGTCAATGGCAGACTCATTTCTATAGATAAATGGCAGGAGTGTAGTAGTTAGCAAGGAGTGATGCAAAGGGATGGCAATTACTATCAAAATTTGGTGTGGTTGTCATCAGTTGGCATCAAACTTTGCGTTATAGCTCTTGGCATTATAGCTGGGAAATATAGCCCCCGAGACATTCCCAAGAATACTAGAAAGGGGTGCGCAGATAATAGAAGCCAAAAAAGAAAACAATGCTGACGAGAAAACTGTAGAGAACCCATACCGACTGAGTACGTTAGGCTGGGCATGCCTCCGAGCGACTCGTGCCAAAAGACCAATACCTGATAAGATCCAACTGAAGCCGCAAGTCTCAATATGCAAGTTGACGTGTCAGACGGACGGATTCCCCTCTAGCAACATTGCTCAAGCTACTTGAACAGTCATCAATGATCTTCTAGCTTTGCACACCTTACATACTCAAAGTCATTCTCGAGAAATTTCTTCAAAATGCGGTTAACCAGGCCGGCAGTTTCCGCTTTGTTGATCTTGTTCGATATTGATCCAGACATGAAGCAGCTATTTGGGAGCCAATCTTTCTGTGGTCGTTCAAAGAATTCTTGGGTTGTATAGTGGACCGAGCGAATGATATCGATCCCTTTACTTATTAAGGCTATTCAAAGATAAACATCCTAACGCTCCTCGTTGATTGATGTCGCTAGGGTATCTAACGAGTTAGGCGCTTAAGTTAGAAGATATTTTAGTCACTAAATAAAAATCAACTCCGATTAAAGGGCCTAGAGATAAGCTACCCAGAATGCGGATCGGGGGGCATATCGCTCTCAGACACTACCCTGCAGTTCGCATAGGAGTTAAGTCATGGCTAAGGAGCTTGGTGTTCAGCGCCGAGATAGCACCTAGCCTTGGAACTAAGCCTACTTAGTCTCCACGCCACCAGCCTAAAGTCGTCGACCTCACACGGCCCCTTCGTTGCTCAGGCTGACCAGGCCTTGAAGTTGAACTCTTTGCCGCTCGTGGGTATGGCGATGATTGGGTCTTCTCAAATTCTTTGTCTCATCACATGCTCCTGATGCCACCAACCATTCCGCTCATTCCAATACTACATTTCCAACCCGCTGTCCATTTTTGGTGTGTGTGACCATTTTTTTAAGCAACTGTGATTGAAAATACGAACTAGACATGGTAGATATGCCCCATTAAAGGTAAATGCTTCCACGATGGAACTCACAGCCCACGACTGTGGCACCCTGAGAGGAGCGCTCTCAACGATTCACCTCTGATTGAGCGCACCAGATATGGAGGCTTCGCATGCGACCATAGAAAGCAGAAGAACCCCATGGCCTCCCACGAGAGGATTGGTCAGAATTTTAAGGCTATGCTGCGCCCCGTTGATGCAAGGCGCTGCTCCGCCACGTCCATCCTGAGAGTAAGTCGGCTCTCCTGCTCCGTCAGTCTGGTGTTTCTCAAATAAAGCATCATCTGGATAACGGCGAACAGGTGGTGTGGCATTGTGGTCGATTGATATCTTCACGTTCAGTGTAGCTATTAGTCTTCTTAGACGGCAACAAACTTGAACAATTATCTCTTTACGATCTTCTAACCTCCCATTTTCGGTACCGATAGACTCCGAATATTTGAAGACTGTCAAAGATCAGGTAGGAATTGTCCACCATGTCAATTGGTAGGCTGGCTGCCTCTGCTGTGTCCGGAACTCTTGAGACTACAATAGCTCTTGCCGCGGCAAACTTTGATTTCTCTCTGATTAAAATTGAGGCACCAAAGGAATATAAAGATCTCGGATTATCTTTATCCAGCAAGCGCAGTGCCGAAGCTGAGGAAGGTCAAATTCATGTGACTGCCAGGAAACTTGGAGCTCTCTTTGCAGATGCAATTCCAGTGACTCCAAAGCTGTATCAGTCATATGGATTGAGGGCTAGCGAGATCGCAAAGGTGGAGATTCACAATCCAAAAGGCACACAGCGCGATGGAATGTTTGCTGACCACCTCGGGGCAGACGGGACCAGCATCTGGGCTGCAGCAACGTCTGGGAACCCAGCAATCGCAGTTCACTTACTTGCCTGTATGTTGGCCCGTATGTGGACACATGCAGAGGCAGTCTCCATATGGGTTGAATTTGTAGAGGAACGAAAACGCGTGCTTGGCAGCCCAGACTCACTGGGAGTACTCAGTGTTCTTGCCCTGCAAAACTCTCGTGTGCGTCTTTCAAGGTCTCAGATCGCCGCGTGGGATGCCAGCGCCCGTGCATGGTTGCAAACTGCCGACGAAGTCAAGAAGCTACAGCAGACTCAGTTGATGTTGATATTAAACAACATTGGCACTTCTGTCAATGCCAAACCTTTCCTCTACGATAGTGTGCTCCAAGCTTGGACTACCTCGTTGATTGCAATGGAAAACCTTTTGAAAGGTTCAAATCAGAGCGTCGAAAGTGGCGCATCACTTCTCGGCCTAGCTTCCTGGCACTTATATCCCGATATGCTCGTGCTAGGGAAATCCAGCACAAAGGTGGCCCAGAAAGATGCTCTCATACCACAAGGCACTTTAATTACCATTGGTCTTCAAAATCGAGACCTTCAAAAGCGTGGGGTGTTCTGGTCACTTCCCCTCGCGTACTTGCGTTTTTACGGAGACCCGGTCCGAGTGACTCGCCATGTCAGCCACGAAACATCTCGAGTGTCAATCGAACAGCTGATTCTTGTAGGCCTTGGTGCATTGATAGGGCCGTGGATCACTCAGACGTCCATGTCCGAAGTCGCGATCAAGTTGATCGTCCTTCTAAAGCAGTCTTCATTGAACGCCAATTCCAGCGACACACGTTCCTGGCTCTGGCTCCTGGGTGAACAAGCAGAAAAGCTTCTTCAGACCAAGAAGGAACAATGTACCGAACAATGGCAACTCGTGACGGCGGGAATAAGAAGATACACCGAGTTTCTTCCCCGGCCATCTCAACGTGTCTTTGGGCTATTGCGTCCTGCGAACTTGCTAAAAGCAATGGTCCTGGAACAGCGGATAGCCTTCTTGAGGCATATCTGTCAGAAAAGATACCCTAAGGATTCTCAAAGAATGATAATTCAGTACTTGCACAAGCTACCTCTTGGTCCGGCTCAGTACGAATATGCCTCAGTCACTCCAATTTTGCCGTCTCTGAAACCGCCAAAGCGGAAATTGGACGGCTCCGTGAGGGCATCTGATCCCTGTCATTTAAGATGGATTCAGAGCTCGGGATCAACCACTGAGCCGTCAGGTATAGATCAAAGACAAAAGCAGATAGAGGAACTGGGTGAGAGAATTATCCTTGTTCCGCGAGACACCTTTTTACCATCTCTGGAATCGAGACCTGGAATGACGTGGGTAGATGCCCCAAATATCATTTTTCAAGTGTTCGATGAGCATGTACTACCAAAAGGAGGAAGGAATCCTACGATTGGCTTTGAGATGCTATTTGGGCATCCACAGCTTGGTGCAGTTTTCGCGGCGACGAATGATAGCCCTCTGACTCGGCTAGAGAAACGTTTCTCATTGGATGACGTAACGGATGCATTTTCGTATAAGTTAATATCCCCACCATGTCTGATTCAATATTTTGAAGAACGGGAGAACTGGGATGCAGACATGTTGAATGTGTCTGCTGGTTTGGACGTCCTTTCGATAGTGGCACTCATCTACAACAAGCTCAATGGAGCTAGGATATCGCTCCAAATCGCAAAAGAGAGTATTCTTGGTTGGAAATGGTCAAGGGCCATCGCTGAACAGTTCGACTACAACCAACATGGTTTTAATTTTCGATGGGTAAATAACTGCTCCACAGAAGTTTCATTCGCCTGCATCCTCGCCTGCGAATCTGGATCTGTGGATTTACCACCGAAATCACTTGAAAAGGTGATGGCGATTTCAAGTGGTAATTCCCTTTATGTGGCCGAGAAGCTTCTCCTGGATCCCTGCGAAGAACCAGGTGAGGTCGCTATTGAAAGGATTGTGGGAAATTTGGGCCGACCTGGCATCATTCTGATGATCCCTCCCGATCAGCCTCGGGTACGTAAGCTAGAAGAAGGAACTTGGCACCTGATAAACCACACAGAGTTTGACGGTACCCCCGACGATCTGTTCCAACAGTTAACTCTGCATCTCTCCATATCAGAGTGGCAGCAAGCGGTCGACGTCAGCGCAGTCGGAAGTCGGGATGCTGAAGTTTGCTTCGTCAATGGTTTCGTGGCTTTACACGATCATGGAAAATGGGTCGCGGACTTGGACATCCTTGGGATGCTCCTGAGGCAAGAATGGACACCGCTCAATTCTGTTCCGTGCTTTTGCGCATCCAAGTCGATGAATATACCTTCATTTCCGTGGTCGCTGTCGTGCATCGACAAATGGGAAGAGCTGATCGAATGCCCTGCGAACGCAAGCATCGTTCGAGCCCGCAATAATTGGCAAGCCAGACTTGCTCTGGCGGTGCTAAGTGTTCAACTGGGTCACAAAACTTACATTGTCTCACCTGACCATTGCTGGAAATGTTGCATCGATGCCGTTGCTATACTTCCACCACATCCATTCCAGATTGTTGGACAGATTCATCGAGAAGCATGCGAGCTCGACATTGGAGACGAACAGAAGTCCGAGGTGTGTTCGAGCCCACGAACCCACAATGACGATCTAGAGGACAAATCTTTTCCGGAGAGTATGCAAATGGGTGATAATGCTCCGGAAGACCAGGAATCAGATTTAGGAGGATGGTCAACTTGCAGTTCAGTATTGAAATTGCCCGGCAACGTCAACTCAGATCGCAAAAACAAAAGCCGACTCTGTGACGTATATATCTGGTGATTAGAATAATTGTTGGAGGATTTGGACTATACAACTATACGGGCCAATCGATACAGGCAAGTCAGCGTAGTTGAGATTTCTGTCTTCTTCTACTCTATGGTCACCGTTCTAGTTTACATAGAAAATTACTAGGCAAATGACCTCCTAGAGCCTATTTTCTATGATTCTAAAGCATTCCAGAGGCTGTAGTACTGACTCATTGCTCGTCGTTATAAGGTTACCTACACTAGGTACTTTAGCGTTAATATACCCCCCTAGGAATAGCTATATAAAATTACCTCCACTAGTTCCGTAGTCTCTTATTAACTAGCGTTAATAGGGATAGCGTTTGAGTACTAGGCAACGAAGTATTAAAAAACCTAGTAGAAGTAGGTATAGAGAGCGTACTAGTTATAATATTAATCGATGTATAGTAAACGGAAAGAATAGATACGGTATACCGCTAAATTTTAGTAGTAGGGCTATAAAAACGATCCTACTTATATCCATGAGTAAGTAGATAGTACCTAGAGTTTTAGTTACTTACGTCGATATCGATATCGATACGCTATAGGCCTACTACCTTTATAAAGTTAGTATATTTATCTACTAAGAGCGCCTTAGTAAGTTCGTCGGCGTATATATTATTAGTCTTAACCTAGTCGACTTTAATATAGCTATCCTAGACCTTTTTACGTAGCTAATAATTATATATATCTACGTAGCGTAGTTTAGTAACTAGTTTAGCTATTAGTTTAGTAAGTAGTCGTATAGTTTAGCTATTAATATAGAGTAGTTTAATATTAGTTAAGAGGTTAATACGCTCTCGGTTTACTAGTAAATACGCCTTAAGGTAAGCTAATAACCTTTTCTAATATATTACTTCGCTTACTTCGTTACTAAGTACTAATAGTTCCGCTTTAGTACTAGATATAGTAACTATCTTTTACTTACTTACTTTCTAGTCGATTATATTACCTCCTAGGTATATAAGATAGTCCTAAGAGCTCCTTCGATTACTTAAATTAGCGAATAACGCGTTCGTATATACGTATAGGTCTATTTCTCGCTATCCTATAAGCTATAGAGCGTATACCCTTATAGTTACTAGGTACTCGATAACTCGTCGAGTAGCTACTAGATAAGAACTACTTAGATTTTATAGGTTCTATAATAGACTTAATAAAGTAAACCCTATATCGAGTCGAGTTATATATATAGTAAAGTTATTAGGATTTAGCTAGGAATTTAGAGTAATTCGTCTAACTACCGTATAACGAGGATTCT